ATCAATCACATCTGATTTGTCTTCAGGCATGGCCGTTTGAATCAGACTTTTTACAAGTTTAGGGTTTGGTGATATGCCTTCGCGAATGATGATGTCACCTAAGAACTGCACTTCAGTGACGCCAAACCGGCATTTTTCCGCATTGAATGCGAGGCCTGCTTTTTCAGCCGCTTTCATGACTGCCACTAGTCTTTGGTCGTGTTATTTTTTGTTGCCCCCACACCAAAATATCATCAATGCACACGTGTACACCAGGAAGGCCATCGAAGATCTCGCTCACTTGTTCTTGAAAAACTTCGGGGGCCGACGAAATGCCAAACGGCAACCGCAGATAACAATATCTTTCATAGAGGGTTGCAAAGGTACATATTTTGGACGTTTTCTCGTCCTGCGAAATCTGGTGAAAACCAGAATTCGCGTCTAGACAGCTAAAATAGGCTGCACCTGCCAATTCCCCTTCGATATCCTCGCGCTTTGGGAGCTGATAATGCTGCCTTTTGACATGCTCGTTTATATTTCTTGGGTCCATGCAAATAGGAAGCCTGCCATCTTTTTTCTTGACCAAGACCAAGGGGCTTACCCAGTCTGTGGGGCCATCCTCTTTCATGATGATGCCTGCACGCTCCATTCTTTGAAGCTCGTCTCGGAGTGGCTCTCGCAGAGACAGGGGAACCCGCCGGCTGGTTGGACAAGTGGCGTTGCCGAAGGTTCCATGACTATGCTGTAGGGCCTCTTTAGGTTTGTAATGTTTAATTACTTCGTACTCTGAAGCCTTGACACTGGCCACCGTCTGTTGAACGAGCCCCAACGCTTCGCTTGCCTCGAGTCTCAGTAAGGCTTGGTGGCCATTCTTCACGACGAAAAATTTCACTGTGGTGGAAGAGTTACCGAGAGTGATTTTCAGTTGCACCGTTCCAAAGTGAGTAACCACGCCCCTGGTGTGAGCTCGCAGCACCGCACCTGTGGGCGTTAACTTTTCCGCCCCTGGAATCTTGTGGTACACCGAGAACGGTAGGAGGTTGGCCTGTGAACCAGTGTCCACCTTGAAGGCGATGTTTTTTCCAGCAATTTGTGCTTCCTTCCAATCTTTGCTGCCTCCTCTGTCTGTTTCAATTGCTAGAACGTCAAAGTCGTCGTCACTGCTGTCCTTGCTTACCTGGCTGACACCAGACATTTCTCGGCAACAAACCGCGAAGTGGTGAAGTTAGCGACATTCATTGCATCTTTTACCGTAGGCTGGACACTTTCTTGGCAAGTGTCGTCGATTGCACTTTTTTGCAACGGTGCTGCTTGCTATCCTCATCACTTTTGCCCCGCCATGTTGTTGCGTGCCTTCAAACAGCATCGACGCGGTTTTTCGTGGCGTTCCAAACCTCCTTTCGCTGTGGCAATGATTCTGCCACCTTGCAAAGTTCTTCCGCTTTCAGCAATGTTAAAGACTTTTCTCAAAGCATTTTTTCTCGCAGCTTCGAGTCATTTGTGCCAAACACGATTTGATCCCTGATCAGAGAATCTCGCTGCTCTTCAAAGTTGCATTGCTCGGCTTTCCTTTTGAGGTCGCGGACAAACTTCTTAAAAGGTTCCCCCTTCGCCTTCTTCCTTGACCGAAACGCGTAGTGTTCATGAACTTCGTTGCTCACCTCAGCACAGTATGACTCGAATTTCCCAGCGAGCGTTGCGTAGTCGTCCTTGCTTTCGTCTTCCTCGAACATGAACGTGTTTAACACGTCGAGCGCTTCGTCACCAGCTACGCTTAGCAGCAGCGCCGCTTTTGCAGCTTCGCTTCAAGGATGCTCCATTGTGGTCGCCTGCAGGTGCAAGTCGAACTTCTGCCTGAAGCGCCTCCGATTTTTTGAGAGGTCACAGGTCAATTGCAAGGGGGGCGGAGCCTTGAGAAGTTCCATCGTTGTCGCTCACACTTCTGACACCATGTAACATGTCGGGTATCTGACAAAGGACAGAGGCAACTACATGTTGACGGGAACAAGAAGAACAACAGGGTTTATTAACACGTCTTTATATAGGTGGTGAGGGCGGGGAAGTCTCGGTGATAAACGCACAGATCACGATAACACAGACAGCGCATGTCCGATACAGACTCTAGACAAGCATTTTTTTTCACTTTTGTATACGAAGTTTCTTTTTAGAATTGGGGCAAAAAATGAACAATATGTCCCCATATACTGTGTCTACTCTTAAAGGGGTCCTGAAACACTTTTTCAAGTAACCATGAAATGAATTAACTGGAAGAGCCCATTGCCTCACGAATTCAACACCGCAAAAATTTTAAGAATCCGTCCAGTGCGAGTGGAGTTGCAAAGATTTGGTGCATGCTGCAATGGCGTTCTCTCTTCCCACGTCCTGACGAAAGCACTGGAAGCTAAGCAGGGCGGGATGACTGGTGCAAAGAAATACGTCAGGCGGGCCTCGTGACCTTAAGCACTTTTTTTCATTCATTTTTTTTTTCTTCGAATGCACGACTTTTTTTTTTGTGATCGTGCTCGCGCGTGCGTAGACTAGTCGGGGTTTCCCGCGGGGATCTCTGTAATGACCGAGCGCGCCATGTTAGATGGCTGACAGATGGGCTTTCTAGGAGTTATTTTTGAGCGTCATACGTCATTTGTAGAGAGAAGAGAAAGAAATTTTCAGCTGACTATGATCATTCATTGTAAATTACAGGCCTTTGCTACCGATGAGCAGTGTTTTTTGACCATGCTCAAAAAGTTTTCGCAGGGCCCCTTTAAGACAGAGGAGTCCCCCTTCTAGGTTTCTTCAAATTTTTTCTGCCATTTGAATGCATTTCTACATAGTATTAACGAGAACTAACAGATAATGATGCCAAGGAAAGTATGGGCGATGTTATTGGAAGTAATTGTAATGTAAATACGAAAAAAGAAAAGTTGACAAAAAGATCACTTGCCGCTGGCAGTGATTGAACTTGCAACGTTCAACTAATGCATTTGACGCTCTATCACTCAGCTATGATGGTGGTCATCCCTCTGTCCACTTTATAGGTGCATTTAGGAAGGGAGGAGGGTCTTTTAAAATAGCACAAAATTGTAAAAAATGCTGACTTTCAAAAATTGCAATTTGAGGTGTTTATAGTCGAAAGTATGTTTTGTGTGCTCAGATTTGGGTGCACGTTAAAGAACCCCAGGTGGTCGAAATTTCCGGAGCCCTCCACTACGGCGTCTCTCATAATCATATGGTGGTTTTGGGACGTTAAACCCCACAAATCAATCAATCAATCGAAAGTATGTTTTGGAAAAATTTTATATTATGGCAAAATACCATTTACTTTTGTTAAAGCTTAATATATGAACTTGCACATGTTTTTAGGACCGGGAATGTAATTTTCTTAGCAGCGTTATTTTATTTTATTTGTGAATCAGCCTTACGGAAGTTATGAGCAAGTTTCTGTGAAGATATCTAAACGAACTTTGTACCATTCTTTTACGAAGCACTTGAACTACAGGCTAAAGCTTTTCTTTTTCTCTCAAACTTGATAGAATTGTAATTATATGACAAATACCAGCTAATTACTGGTAGCTCATTTTTACCTTCCAAGTTAAAAAATTATTTCTGATCAAAGAAATAGCTGTTTCGACATCTAGTTTTCTTTAGCCTGTGGGATACCCGTTGTCACCATGCTCATGATTTGCTTTGAAGGACACTAAAAAGGCTGAGTGGTTCAACAATGAAGGTCAGTACGTCACTAACCTTTATTCGTATGAACAAGAGGACTGTACAGGTTTCTGTAAATTACCTAATTATAATGAGGAAATTTGTCATCACTTTTTTCTAAACGAGATATTTCAAATGTGTTTGCAGGTTCGAAATCTCCGTTCAGTGGTACACATGCATGGTAATTTCTATCACTGTTAGATAGTAAATAAAAAACTTTTTATTAAGACCCTTGTAACCCCATTAACGTGCAAGTATCAGTCGACACAGCCAGCAGCCACTACAGCGAGTGCGGAACACTTCTTCAATGGCTCGTAAAGAGATCACGTGGTACGTGACGCCAACAGGCAAATTAATGTTTTTCTGCAGTCGCCATAGTGGCTACTGGCAGCACTGACTTGATGCTCTCACATTGAAATTCACATTATATGCCCCATATAGTAGACAGAGGGATGACCACCTCACATGCACCCTTCGTCTTTAGCACTTTGCTTACTTTTTCCCATTTTTTTCAAATGTTTCTATAATGACCTTGTTTATTTATTCCGACCATGGATGTTTACTGTTTTTGTGTTTTTTAAGTTAGTTCATTCATGATGTATACCATGTTTTTGTGTGACCGCTGTGAAGCTGCCCAGTGTATGAGGTGGCCAGGTTCCCCTCAAGCTGCTCAATGCAGCTTTTTTGTCTGGTCATCCTCGCAACTTTGTTGTTGTGAATAAAACAATTTAATTCAATTCAATTCAATAAAGCAATGGCTTCTCTAAAGCATCAGACCAGACACGTTATTCAAAGGTTACTGGTTTGGTCCCTGCTGGCGGCAGGTTATATTTTTCTCAACTTTTCTTCTTCACATGTACACTAAAATTTGAATATCTTCTATACTTTCCTTGGCATCATTGCCTGATCGGGATGTATCTACAAAGAGAGCATTTTCCTTATTGAGAAGCTGGGAGAGGAAGGGTGTGACCCTCGCTTTCCTTCTGCTGTGTTTGTGTCCCAGGCTCATGTTTCTGGCAGTGGAACGGCCTGCACCCTCTTGTGTGTATAAAACTTACTTCTGTCTGCCTTTTAGCTATCTGCTGTAGAGAGATAAGTGCACTACTAATTATTAACACTGCATGTCAGTTATGAATACCAGACACCATACTCTCAATATAGTGATGCATGTGGCTACTACACTTTCCTGAGGAAGAGCACCACTTGTTATTGGCAAGTTACAAACTCGTTCACCATAGGAAAAAGAAGGGCATGATTAGTGTTTGGTTTGCTATCACCAGGTGGATTTCATGCTTTTTTTAAATCACTGTTTGCAGGCAGTGCTGTGCACAAAAGTGCCTGCTTCTAAGGTGCAGCAGGCAGCCTATGAGGTTATTGCAAGTGTGGGCAAGGCACTGATCCGTTGGCAGCCAGATGATCCTGGAGAGGCTGTTACAGAGCTTGTGGTCCGGCTCACAAAAGGTTTATTAGGTCGTACCTACCTACTGAGCTCCTGCATCATGGCCCTTTCATTTGCCCTCTACGAGTTCAAAGGTACTAGTGCCCATTTCTGGTGTTTGGTTTGCGCTTCACCGAGATGACACATATTTATGAAACTCTGTATGTTGCTTAGTCGAATGGCACTGATCAATTTTAAAAGCAACTACTCTAGTGCAGTTGAAGAACATATGTATGTGACATATCAAAGTATTCATTGTCACAGAATTTTGTTGTTGCAGCCAAATGTATAGAATGCATGAATTCAACCAACTTGGTAATTGTGACTGGTCCGCTGGTCAGGGCAGGCATATGCATATTTATTGGCAATGAACCCTTAACACTTGCTGATTTAGATGTACATTAGCTATACCCAGAATTTTCACAATGAGCGTTAAAATGTAGCGAGTGCAAAGTGCTGCAAATGTTAAACATTTATATGTCGAGCTGGGCTTTTACTCAATAATATTCAGTTGGTTTGGAATGTTTATTCTTGTTTTAGTGCATACAGTTATAATGAAATGATTGCTACTAGACAAATATCTTTTTTGAAATAGGCATGCTGGCAAGCTTGAAAAAAAAAAAGAAAAAAAAACTGAAAATCCTATGCTCTGCCATGGCAAATTTAAATTCTTAGCAAAGTGATGCATCTTGGTGCAAAGAGGCAACTGGAAGAGAGTGAGCAGTTGAGTATATGATTCAATGGTTACACTAGAGTAGTTAGGGGGTTTGCTGTGCTAGAAATTTTAGACAAATGTTATGTAGGCCCCACATGCACCCTTCATAAAGCAATGGCTTCTCTAAAGTACTGTGTAGATCATATAGGGCAATGGAGATGCGATTGTTTTACAGAACAAGAGCACTGCACTTTTTATAAATTTTGTATCCTATGTTTGTTGTTAATGGCTGTTCTGTTTTAGGGCTATGTTAGAGATCACTGATGAAATCTGCTGTTGTGAAAGTGCTTAATGGTGGTTGTTTTTGCAGATGTCTGCCGCAGTGACATGCTGAATGCTGTTATCAAATCTGTAATGAATGTCTTGGAATCGGGGAAGCGGGAGGTGGTGAAGGCAGCTCTTCATTTCGTGCAGATGCTATTTTTCATCCTCACTCCTGAACATCTGAAAGAACATTTAAGCGAGCTGGTAAGTTTGATGCATAGAAGAGATTAGAAGATAGATTAGAAGAAATACCGAACTCACTATAGCTTTAATCACATATGGTAGAGCTTGTTTCTGCTCTCTGGATCTGGTGGTTGCTACCACGTCTTGTTGTAGTTGCTCATCTTGCAGATCCACTTCTTGTGTGCTAGTTCAGTAAGTGCTTCTTTATGCTTTTGCTAGATCCCAAAGTTGGGCTCAATGACTGAAGATTGCCAGAAGCATTTCCGAAGGAAGATCAGAGAGATCTTAGTCAAATTGATTCGAAAGTTTGGGTGAGTGTTTCTGCATGACCTTTTACTTATGTAAAAAAAGTTAATTTAATCTGCAGCCTAGGGAAATAAAATTTTTGCTGTATATAAATGCTTTTATGCTCATTCCAAATATGTAATCAGTTTTACGGATTGCATAGTTATCATAGTTGCTTAACAAAGTGGCTAGTGGCTGATTGGGCTAGTTAGTGTAGCATACTTGAGGTTTAACAGCCCATTTCTGAGTGACTTGCTCTTAGCCAAATTAGATATTCCGCAGGGGCACCTGCGTAAGTAGGCGTTTGGTGTGTAGCGACACCACAAACCCGAGCTAACAGGGGAGTTTCGACTCCCTCCCACGCTTAGCCGTGCATGGCTTTGCCGTGTCCAGGGAAAAGGGGATCCTGGGGGTTGAGCCAATGCTGGGTGATTGGACCTTTAAGGCCCCCCAGTGGCGGCAACACACCCCTTTGGATCCGGCTTCACGTAGACGGCACCCCTGGGCTGAACCACCCAGGGGAAACCGGCAGTCGCCTTTTCCTGTCTCTCCCTCTCTTCATCTTCGTCTTTTCCTCTCACTCTCAATCTTTCCTGTTCTCTCCTCTCTTCAATTTACTTCTGTTTTTCCTGGCGGCAAGGGTTAACCTTGTGTGGCTATCCTAACTAGGGTAAACCATATTGGGTTATAGTAAGACATGTCCACATGCTCTGCCACGTCCCCTTGTTGGACTCCGTGGTGGGTGGTAGGCGCCGTTACCGAAAAATCCACATTTTCCCATGAGATCCTCGACCCCCTCTCTAACTGATCGTGCCTCGAAAAGGGTACGCACCGACGCAACTTCACTACTTTGGCCCCAAAACAGAGAAACTTTCCCAAAATACCATGTCCTCCACTGCGAATAATCATCTACAAAAGCTAGAGCAATCTCACCCTTCCTTGTGGCCAAGTGCTTGAGTGAGACCATTGGAACCGGTCATAAGGCCACGAAGATGGCAAGTGGAGATTTGCTTCTCAAATTAAAAGACAAGGAACAGTACAATAAACTCTCGCACCTTGTAGCCTTTGGTAACGTCCCCGTCTCTGTGAGCACACACCGTACCATGAATACAGTGAAGAACGTGTTATCGGACGAAGATTTGATGACACTGAGTGAAGAAGAGCTCCTTGATGGATGGAAGGACCAAGGTGTAATACATGTCCAGCGCATCAAAATCAGACGTAACAACAACGAAATAGCAACAAAGCACTTGATACTCGCCTTCAGCTCAACCACTTTACCTGAGACTGGCTATATAGAAACTGGCTATATAGAAACTGGCTATATAGAACTCCATGTCCGACCCTTCATTCCAAACCCGAGGCGTTGTTTCAAATGCCAGCGATTTGGTCATGCATCCCAGAGCTGCCAAGGACAGCTGATGTGTGCTAAGTGTGGCACAACCGGCCACAGTGCTGATGATTGTAGTCATGACGACGTCCTCTGTGCTAACTGCGAAGGTAGTCACCCCGCATGCTCCAGAGCGTGCCCAGCCTGGAAAAAAGAAAAAGAATTAACTATAAAAGTTAAGGAAAATATCACATTCACGGAAGCAAGACAACGGATCTCGTCATCATTGGCACTAAAAACACCTTTCGCCGAAGTGGTGCAACGAGGGGCGGCACCACAAAGGCCCTTGGCAGTTGTCCGGACCGCGCATAGCGTGCCGAGGCCAACGCCACAAGCCCCTACAGCAGGAGCAGCCAGCGCTGCCCTGCCCACATTCAGCCTGTCCACACCGGTGACCTCTACAACCTCTGGCATTAGCCAGGGCAATCACGAGGCCAAGGGGCCCTCATCGGCCTCAGCTCGGTGGGGACAAAGACTTCGTCGATCGAGGCGAAGTCTAAGCGACGCACAGATCGCTCTGTAGAGCAGGCGTCCAGTGCCTCGCAAGAGGCTGTGGACACCAGTTCAAGCCAAACAGCGCAGGAAGCGCCGAAGGAGCAGCGAGCTTCTGTAGACCGCCCCCAAAAAAAGACAAAACGCCGATTACAGGGCCTGACAAAGGCCCTGTAAAATGAGCTAATCTCCGTTTTCTCTGCACACAGCACTTTTTCCTTTTTTTTTTCCACTATGGACAAAATTATACAGTGGAACGTAAGAGGAATACTTAGAAATTTAGATGACGTTCAAGAACTTCTGAGTAAGTTTAACGCGAGAGTGCTATGTGTTCAAAACCTCTTTTTAAATATAATGCATTGAATGCATTCTTAAAGGAAGTAAATACTTTCCATGTTATTTACTGAAGTGATCGGTAGCACTGCCTCTGAAAGGAGGCTGCTGCTGCGGAGGCTACATTCAAAGAGAGCACCTGTGTCCCGGCCCTTGGGACCAAGGGCGCTGGCGAGGTATCGGTGCTAATATAACACCCCTATTCTATGGTGTCATGATAACTTAAGACTCATTCTCACCAGGCATGCTTCACTTCACTTTCATAATTTTAATAAATATATGTCTTACGCACCTTTAGAGCACAGAGTCTTAGACCCTTTTACAGCCATTTGACATAACCATTGCTCCGATTCAATATAATTTCCTGGCACTCTTTGGCCATCAATGGCCCTTCGTCATTAAACAACATATATTATCATCATAGCCAAATTAGATGGGACATTGAATGAAAAGCTTGGTGAATTATCTGTTGTAAAAACTTTTCATTACATGGTCGATTATCTGATGATTTTGAACTGTGATTTAGAAATCTTTCACTCTAAGGTCATGCAGGTGTTACAAACCTTTCGTGACCGCCTTTGTTCGCTCGTGGTGACTTGCGAGACGCCGGAAAGGGACAGCATCTGCTTTCTTGACCTAAAGATTTCTTTTTCGAAATACCACACGTGCTGGTGTTACGAGCCTCGTTCCCAGAAGCCTATTCTGCCGTTCTCGTCTGCACATAGCAAATTAGTAAGAAGAGCAATCGTACAGTCATGTTTCCGAAATGCTTTAGAAAGGTCTTGCCACCATGTCTTAAAAGCCAATCTCCTGGCACAGTCCAGAAGCGCCTAGAAAAAGAGGGGTACCCGCGCCCTTTGCTCATTTCTGTGGCAGAGGCAATGCACAGGAAAAGAAAACGTATGGGCATCGACAGTAACAGGGAGTGCACCACAGCGGAAAAGTGCGAAAAGGTGGCGGTTATTCTGTATATGCACTTTGTGTCACACCGCCTAAAGAAAATAGGACAACGCCTCAACGTGAAGGTGGTCTTTAGTGCCCCTGACAAGTTGTCCCAGTTGACAAATGGGACCTGCCCCGTAAAGAGAAACGGAAAGCAGTGCATGGTTAGGCACAGGACACAGTTTGTCGATTGTGCGCTAGGCGTGGTGAACAGGATCCCATCGTCTTGCGGTGCATGTTACGGGGGCCAGACGGGCAGATGCCTAAATGAACGCTTATGGTAACACGCCAATAATGTTCGTACTGGCAAATATGGCTTTTTGGCACAACACATGAGCACGTGTGGGTGCACTCCACTGTTCGAAAAGACAACAGTTCTCGGCAAGACTAAAGAACACCAGTGTATAATCTGAGGCTGCTCAGATGGGGCTTCAAAGGCGTAGTGATTGTTGATATTTCATATCTTTACATCTGTCATTTTCTCGCAGTTTTTTTTTCTGTTCACTCGGGTATATTAACAGTCAATAAATTTTTAGTTGGAAATCGGCGCTTTTCCTATCTTTTTCCTGCCCACCGTGTATTTTTTGGCGCTGTTAAACCTTAAGTATGCATAGTTACATAGTTTTCCTTTTGTACCTTGACAAAATGTAGTTCTTTTTGGCATCATCTTTTGTCACTAAATCTTTAAGGTTCTGAGCCATTAACTGCACATGTTGCTACATATTAACTGTAGAATGTTGATAACGAACAAGGAAGTGTGTATAACATTTCATTGGACAAGAAAAATTGTTTTGTGAGACGTCTTAGCATGGTCAGTCCATACTAATTGCTTACTTTAAGTTTGTATTGATTAATAAAGCGATATCAAGTTTTAAAAAAGACAGTTGTGCTCTGCTCCTCGCCACAGTGCGCTAGTGGCCAAGGTTCTCGGCTGCTGACCCACAGGTCGCAGGATCGAATCCCGGCTGTGGTGTCTGCATTTTCGATGGAGGCGAAAATGCTGTAGGCCTGTGTGCTCAGATTTGGGTGCATGATAAAGAACCGCAGGGGGCCCGAAATTCATATGGTTGTTTTGTGACATTAAACCCCACAAATCAATCAATCAATAAGTTGCACTCTGCACAAGTTAAGGAATGTATGGCCATAATTTCATCCCAGTCTAGCTATCAGAAGTACCAGTAACATGACAAACTCAAGAAATTGCCCACGATTGTATCTCAAGAAAAAAAGCATTTCAGAGGTATGAGTGAAAGCTCGTCTATGTGGCAAAAATGTATTTTTTTTTTAATGATTTCTTCTATGATGAAATCTTGAGAATTGCAGTGATTTTGAGCATGTGGCTTTGGCGAACGGCTCATGCGAAATGCAATAGCAAGTAGCCAGATGGCAATTTCCACGGGACTCTAGACGGACAATGAGCTTATTTTAGTTTTTAATAGCCACATTGTGCTCTGTGAATGTGATTTTAACCTACTTTGAGTTGAATGTATTTTTTGTAAAAAATAAAATTGCATTTTTCAACTGGCATCTCCCCTTAAAACATGTGCTTTGAAGGTTCTTGACACCCAGTTTTTGTGGTACCTATTTTCTTTAGTGAAAAAGAGAGCTTACCAGTCAGGCTGGCTCATAATGGAATGCTAATGCACATACGGCTGTGGAAAATGATTCATAATTTTATGACGTGCGGTGACGAGGGTGTTCTAAATGTAGCTACACAGAGTGGTATGTGAGCGTAATATCAATAAACAGGGAAGCTGGTGTTCATATAGTGTACTATACTCGCATACTCAAATGCGACATGAAATTGTGAAGTGCGACTAATAGAATGTGCAGTTTCTCGAGATAACCATATTACGTCGCGACGAATATGGTTCCCAAAGGTCTGATACATTGTGCTCGATTTGAAATTACCCCAATATGACGCGAACTGAAGACTTTGGAAACCAAAGTATGTGCTTTACTTGGCCATAAATTGTCCTGTTTGAATCCGTGAGTACTGTAGATATATTCATTTGAATCGTAAAGTCAGCCCCACACATGACATAATACGGAAGGGGGGCTGTGATTAGTTTTCGTCCCTCCCCAGAAGGGGAATCCTTCGCACGCCTATGCTCACCACAGATCTGGTTTGACGTCACTACAACTTTCATTGCCCTTCCGATAAAGCTGCATCAGGGCTGATGTGCTATATAGATGGGTTTGGATTGTGAAAAAGAGCATTTAGATACACTTCGGAAGTGAGTTAAAACTTAATCTAATTAGACATTTGCTGTGCCCAATCATTTGTTGAGTGTCTTGATATAGAGGAAACCCACAAGAAGCTTGTTATATATAGCCTCGGAATTTGATGGCACCACTTCTTTAGCTGTTTTTCTGGCCGGTTTCTTATTTTTTTATTTGCTTGTTTTTAGCTATGACAGCATCATTGAACTGTTGCCAGAGTCCCACCGGAAGTTAGCAGTCAATATTCGTAAGGTTGAGAATCGAAAGAAGCGAAATAAAGATAAGAAGAGCAGGGAGTACCAGGCAAAGGACAAACCTGAGGGCGATGGGGCCAGCAGCTCGGGCATCCTTCGTCGACCTGCCACTGAAGGGTGTGTATTATTTACTTGTACTTGCCTTTGATGTGTTGACATACTGGTAGGTAATCTGTTAAAAAGTCAGTCTGACTACTGTTGCAAATATAGTCCTAGTTTGCTGACTGTTAACTCGGGTAATTTTAGACGGTCAGTGGGTCTTCATGAAATTCACGGCCCATTTGGTTTCAAAGAATTTCATATTGTAATCACATGCATACGCAGTGCAAGGCACTGCATATATGCAAAGCTTGCTGGGTGTGAAAAGCAGACACTGACTGTAACTTTCATGATCAAAAAGTACCATGTTCATTAGCTAGTGTGTAGAGATAAAATTTTTTGTTAATAGAATGTTTTGCATGAATCGATAAAGTCATTGTTAGTTAGTAATGTTCCTGTTAATAGAATCTGTTGCATAATGCATAAAGCTATTATAGCAGTAAGTGATGTTGCATTGCTAGCTTCATGGATTCGGCAAAAAATGGTAGTCACTTCGATGGAGCAGCATAAACTACGGTGTTGTCCAGCTGTGGTTGGTGCAAATGCTTAATTTTTTCTTTTTTTGAAGCTATTTTATATTCATTGATTGGTGAATTTTGCAAAAGGGGAATTTAGATTCCTTCGTTATATCGATCATTTCATATAATGACATTCAAGTGTGCTAATGGTATTTCCCGCTCAATATGATTGGACACCGTCAAGTTGGTAGTCTAACCCTCTGTTGCATGAATTAGGAAGAAGTCAATTAAAAATTTATTGCTAGACTTTTTTCATAAAATAGATAAAGCAAAATATTGCCACATGCGCTTCTTAATCTAACTTTTCTTTGATTTAGTTTTCGCCCACAAAGCCTGGGTCAGGAATGCTTAGCGCAAACTGCACCTCATTGTCCGAGAAGGTTCACAATCATTTTAGATCATTCTGTTGACAACACCTGCAAGGGACGAACACTCTAGATAATGACAGAGCTTGTGATAAGGCTGGAATATTCGACTACACATGTATAAATGCCGCCGCGCTTCGCCGCTTGTCAGTTGATCGACAGCTAATGCTCATTTGGCCTCTATCAGTGCCAGTGTCTTGCTGACTTTCCTTTAATGTGAGCCCAATAAACAGTTTAACCCATATATGCCCAGTGTCCTGCATGTAGGACGCTGAAGCTTTTCAGTGTAACTTGAACGTTTTTTTCTGTAAAAAACGCCAGGCCTGCACGGAAGGCGCAGCGAAGTCACGGCGAAAGCTAGAAGAGCAGCCTTTCAGAGCCTTTTCTAAAACACTCATTGTCGACTTGCGCCAGGCGTGGTGTGCAGGACTGCATTGTCTTGCGGTGCATGTTACGTGGGCTAGACGGGCAGATGCCTAAACAATGTCACGTAGCAACGAATATGGTTTCCCGTCTGCGCAAGCAAAGGTTTGGTGTGCGGCAACACCACGGACTCAAGCCAATGGGGGGGTTTCGACTTCGTTCCCACGTGTTGCCATGCATGGCTTAGCCGTGTCCAAAGAAGGGGGGTTTTCTGGGGGTTGAGCTGACGCTGGGTGATTGGCAGACAACTACAGCGCTCCGCAAGACTCCAGTTGGGATCTCATAACAGCTTTCGTTGTAAAAAGCTAGCGCCACCTAAGGTGTGATGCCCTGTCCTCGTCACATGCAAGTTTAAGTCATCGCTGGGCTACAAATAGCCACGTGTTTGCAGTTACGAAATTGCTATTTGGCGTGCATGTAGCTGAGCGCCATACCGGGAAAAAAAAATATAATATAGAGTCAAATTGTTCTCTATGCTGCTGACATTTTGTCGATTGTTCGTAAGTTACTGTATACCCAGCAACTTTCGTATGATAGTGTAGGTGCTAATGTTTTTTGTTCGCGGTGTATCAAACATTGGTGTCCTACATGTAGGATGGCTTCAAAACCATTGTTCGAAACAGTTTTTTTTTTTTTCAAATAAAAGCCTTACTCTGTTTTTTGAGGTCGTAAAAAAAAGGAAATGTTTTAGAGCAATAAATTCTGTTAATTTTACCAAATTTGGGCATATATGGGTTAATCTGAACACCCGGTCTGCTCTCTCCATCTGCTGGAACAATGCGCTGCTGGAATGTGTTGAATAAAGCAGGGCAATTGTGTCCAGTGTTCAGGCCTAATTGAACATTTCACTTTAAGCATCTGACTGCTGATATCTATGTAGAAAATGGCTGCGCACACGCTTATCTGTACGCATGTCGCTGTCTTGGTATACTTTCTTACTCGAGTTACCAACCACTGGCTTGCAGTTGGGAGTATCAATTGTTAAGGAAATCAAAAAGGTTAAATATGGACTAGAACTTGTCGTACCTCACATTTTTTCAAAATAGAACTGGCAGAGCTTTCGAAGTTGATTAATAGGCGTAAGGTATCCGACGCAAAAAGGTATAACATGGAGAGAATGGAGCACACTCTGAAAAACGGAGGAAGCGTCAAAGCAGTGAAGAGACAACTTGGGATAGGCAAAAATCGGATGTATGCACTAAGGGACAAAGAAGGCAAAATATCTGCCAATATGGATGAGATAGTTAAAAATAGTGGAGGAGTTTTACAAAGATCTGTACAGTAGCCGGGAGAACCACGACTTTAATACTATAAGAACTAGCAGTAACCCAGATGACACCCCACCAGTAATGATAGAAGAAGTCAGAAAAGCTTTGGAGAGCATGCAAAGAGGCAAAGCTGCTGGTGAGGATCAGGTAACATCAGATCTGCTGAAAGATGGAGGACAGATTGTGTTAGAAAAACTAGCTACCCTGTTTACGAGATGTCTCTTGACGGGAAGAGTACCAGAGTCTTGGAGGAACGCTAACATCATCTTAATGCATAAGAAAGGAGATGACAAGGACTTAAAGAATTACAGGCCGGTCTGCTTGCTCTCTGTAGTATACAAGCTATTTACAAAAGTAATTGCTAACAGAGTAAAGAAAACATTAGAATTCAATCAACGAAAGGAACAAGCAGGATTTCGAACAGGCTACTCAACAATTAACCACATTCATACTATCAATCAGGTAATAGAGAAATGCTCAGAGTATAACCAACCACTATACATAGCCTTCATAGATTACGAGAAGGCGTTTGATTCAGTAGAAATATCAGCCGTCATGCAGACACTGCGGAGTCAGGGCGTAGATGAAGTATATATAAACATTCTGGAAGAAATCTACAGGGAATCAACTGCTACCATAGTGCTTCATAAAGAAAGCAACAGAATACCAATCAAGAAGGGTGTAAGGAAGGTGGACACAATCTCCCCAATGCTATTTACCGCGTGCTTACAGGAAGTTTTCAGAAGCCTAAAATGGGAACAGTTAGGGATATGAGTTAATGGAGAATACCTTAGTAACCTGCGCTTTGCCGAGGACATTGCATTGCTGAGTAACTCAGGGGACGAATTGCAACTCATGATTACGGAGTTAGACAAGGAGAGCAGAAAGGTGGGTATTAAAATGAATCTGCAGAAAACTAAAGTAATGTACAACAACCTCAGAAAAAAGCAGCGCTTCGAGATAGGTAATAGTGCACTTCAAATTGTAAAAGACTGTCTACTTAGGGCAGGTAATAACCGCGGAGCCGAACCAGGAGATTGAAGTAACTAGAAGAATAAGAATGGGGTGGAGCACATTTGGCAAGCACTCTCAAATTATGACAGGTAGATTGCCACTATCCCTTAAGAGAAAAGTATATAACAGCTGCATCTTGCCGGTACTTAGCTACGGAGCAGAAACCTGGAGACTTACAAAGAGGGTTCAGCTTAAATTGAGGACGACGCTGCGAGCAATGGAAAGAAAAATGGTAGGTGTAACCTTAAGAGACAAGAAGAGAGCAGAGTGGATTAGGGAACAAACGGGGGTTAAAGATATCATAGCTGAAATCAAGAAGAAGAAATGGACATGGGCCGGGCATGTAGCGCGTAGACAGGATAACCGCTGGTCGTTAAGGGTAACTAACTGGATTCCCAGAGAAGGAAAGCGGGTTAGAGGGAGATAGAAGGTTAGGTGGGCAGATGAGATTAAGAAGTTTGCGGGTATAAATCGGCAGCAGCAAGCACAGGACCGGGTTAACTGGCGGAACATGGGAGAGGCCTTTGTCCTGCAGTGGACGTAGTCAGGCTGATGATGATGATGACATTTTTTCAAGCACCCACACCAGTAAGATAACAAAAAATTGCCAGGTAATGTTTCTGGAACCTCAGACTTTCATGAAGGATCTAAAACCTGCCATTACAACCTAAATCCTGCTAGACAGAGCTGTGCAGCATGATTTCGGAGGCTGTGCTTTGCATTTCTGCTGCACTACGTAGACGATGGCGTATTGCGCAGTTCGTCACTGAATGGTAATTGTGCCAAATAGGGCACATACTGATATCTGGCTGTATGCTATAGCGGCAAAAGGAATTCAGAAAATTAATATTAAGGAAGAATCGAGGTCATGAAATATGTAAAAAATTTTGTTGCTTCTGCTTAAAAAAAAAAGTGAGAAAAAAATTGTACTTGCTGTTGTTTGCATGCTGCTTGCATGTGCGTGCTGCACTCGTATTGAAGCCGGACGTTCATATATTGCAATACATTGCACGTTTTGCACTTTTTTCTTCCATGTGTGCTGTTGTGCGGACTGCCTGCTCAATTATTTTTTTTAGGATTGAGCAGATCTGCTGGACAGCAGTGAAGATGAATCCGACAATAGTGATGAAGATGTTCCAGCAAGTAGGAGAAGCAAGAAGGCTGCATCTGCATGGATTGAAGAGCGAGGAGAAGATGACATTGTTGACTTCCTGGACAAATCTGCTGGAAAGCAGATACTGTGTATGTATATTGATCGTGAACATGGAAGTGCAACATTAATGTGTGAAGTGCCATCTACTAAAGTAGTTTGTCCTCACATATTTCCTCTTTGTATAGCTACTGACCCGAAGGCACTGCCAAAAAAGAAAAAAAAATGTCCGTTTGAAACGACGAAGGATGGGCGACTTCTTATACTGGACCTAGAAGCTGGAAAAGCTGAACAAGATGGTAAGCTGCCCATCTGTTCAAGGGGCATTAAAATTCACTTTAGGTAGTGTGAGCAGCATTTGCCACTGCTTGAATGCAGCCATGTGCAGGCTGATGTGCATGTGCAGGCACGCCATCTGTGGTCTGTCATCTTGACAGCAGGGATTGATTTTCACATTTAAGCCATTTTGACCCAGTAAATGTCATCGAACCTGTCTAAATTTTTCATAAATATGTTACGAGATAAGCTTCGGGTAGCAAGTTCTACGAGTGGTGTGAGAAATGCTGGTTAGGGCTGCAAGGAAGTGTACGCAATTGACACAGCACAAAAACATGTATTCTGATCAGACTGGTGCGAATAGTGAATTTTAGATTCGAAGCGAATTCGAACCTAAAATATCAAATTTGAAGCCCTTTCAAATTTTAGAAGGCTTCGAGGCAAAGCGGATTTCTTTTGGATAGATGCTTTCACAGCTTAGCAATTCTACACTGGAGTGAAAACACCTTTTCAAGCAATTACATGTAGACTAATATACACCTATTCGTTCATTGTGAATACTTTGAAATTTTCAATAATTTGAATTCGGAACCAAAGAGAATTCTGTGATCTTGGTCTGATAATTTCGAATTGAATTCAAATAGCATACATGTATGACTATAAAGAAAAATGGGCATATTTATCATGATCTAACTAACCTGCGCAATATTTTCTTTAAATTAAAGTAAGGCCTCTATGCAAATGCCTTTTTTTTTAGGTAGAATGCAAGTCACAACCTGTAATATACCTAAAATTTTAAAATTTATTATATTTGGAGCATATGAGTCATATGCGCTAATGTAATGAATTGTTTTGAGCATGATATGTTCATTTGAAGAGGCCTTGCAAATTTTTTCAAGTAGCAATAGAATGGATAGGCTAAAGAAGCTTATTGGCTGAGAAAAGGAAGAGGAAATAACTTTATTAAAGAAAAAAAAACAGAAAAACAACAAATTTTTAAAAATCCGTGCAGCACGAGCGGAGTTGCAAAGATTTGTTGCGCGCTTCAAGTGCATTCTCTCTTCTCGTCCCGATGAAAGCGCTGGAAGCTAAGCAGGGAGGGATGGCCCGTGTCAAAATACGTCATGTGCGTCTCGTGACCTTGAGCTTATTATTATTATTTTTTTTTTCGTATATGTGACCTTCGATCGCACACGTACACGTCGACAAATGGCGGCCTCCCGCAGCAGGAGCCCCAGTAACGACCGAGCGTGCTATGCTCAAATCAGCCAATGACTGATACAATGGTTGTGACGAGTGGTTTTTGAGCTTACGGCATCATTTGGTGAGAGTAGAGTGCAATTTTTAGCTGACTTTGAGAGTTTATTGTGAACCGCAGGCCGTGTGCTGTGCCATAATATTTGGCTCGCGTGTTCTCGATAGCCTCGACTGCCGATCAGCAGTGTTTGCTAGCAACGTTAGTCACGTTTTAAAAGGGGGCAGAGCGGATTTCTCTTGGATAGATGCTTTTTTGGCTTAGCACTTACATGCAGATTATTATACACCTATTCGATCATTGCGAATACTTCGAAAGTTTCAATAATTTGAATTCGAATGAAAGAGAATTCGAATGCTCTACCATTCATTCGAATATTAGAACCATTTGAATGTTAGCACAAGCCTAATTATGAAAAAAAAAAGCACACATGAGACAAGTACTGATGCACAGCAAGCGAGTGAAGACGCAAAGCATTTTTAGAAAAATGTTTAGAAAAGGAGTGCCGCGCTCAAGCTATGGGCCTTGACTTAATGGTCGTCATTGTGTTGTGGCTCTTGGACTAGAAGGGCCAGGAGGGTTGTAGGTTTTGCATCAGCTGGGCGCCAGGGCAGAAAACATGTTTCTCAACTCCTTAGCGTGTTGACATACGATGAGGTACCTCTGACAATGTAGGTCTTCTGAACGCCGATGTCTTATCAGGCAAAAGCGTCTTCTTCATTCCAGCTTAAGGCACCGTCTGCGTCAGGAATGTGACCTTTTATTTATTTTTAAGTGTGAATACACTTTATAAGCGACCCCAAACCATCCACCGTCGTCGGCGGCGTCCGCAGTCTTCTCTCTATATTTAAAGGAAAGAGGACTTGGCGGGCCGCAGCGCGATGCTCTACTGAATAAGCCACGGACGTGACGCTGATATCGGTGTCAGTGACGCGCCTTATACCCCCTCCCCCTTCGCTCGCTCCTCTGCTCTCCTCACTCGCTGCAGCTGCGCGCGCACCCCTCTCTCTCGCGCGCCCGCCTTCTTTTTCACTCCCGTCGAGAGCGGGCCGTGAGGGGGAGTAAAGTTAAAATCCGTTGGCATTCGCCAGTAAGTTAACGTAAACTCCCCCGTGTGATCAAATTGCGATTCCCAGGAACCATTACACCATAAAGGCACCATAGTGTGATTAATAAATATAATTGTGCGAATTAATAAATACCCATCATAGCATCACCCGGTGTATTCGCACTTAACCATGTTCACGCTCGGGGAAATGCTTCGGAGTTTTTTCTTTTCTCAAGTCATGTCGGCATGTGCAGGAATGTGTCCATCAAGATAGGCAAACCACTTGGAGAATGCATGCCTGTGTGTTCTCGCCACCACTTCGTTGTCTTTTCAGCGGCGTCATGTGCTAAATATGGGCTTCTACCATATTTAGCACAGAAGCCCCCATTTCAAAAAAGTGTTCTAGAGGAACACTTTAACGTGAAAATGATCACACTCGTAATGTCTCCGACAGGATACATTGGCACACGAGAATTGTACACACCATCACACGCCATAAGTTGACATGAAGTGAAATTAAACAAAATTCACAGTACAATCAGTGTATTTAGACATGCACTAATGCTCTGTAGAGGACGTATTGACTAAATGCTGTCACCACCACGCTAAAACATTTTACAATATAATATCGCAAAACATACGAGACTTAAATGGCAGTTATCACAGAAGGATGAACAATAGTGTGTGGCATGCATTTTCTAGTTAAAAACAACATTCCTGATGTTCTAGTCACAGCAAGAGGAACTCTCTTCTCTTAGCAGCCATCACGCTAGCGCTAGATTGCCCCAAAGAAAATACACTACTTTGTATTTTACGAACTTGCGGTAGGCACTGTTGCGGCTCAGAGCTGTCAAGTTAAAGGGAATGTTAGTATTTTCGACTGTCATGGATGCTATCTTATGAACTTGTGATGGGCACTGTTGCGCCATATAGGCTGACTCTCGAATATGTGAGTGCATGGAAGTAGCCTTCATGCTTTTGCGTCTGTGCTTGGCGAGCATGTACATTTTAATCACATTGTTTAAACAGCGAGGCCATAATGTGTTTCCAATGTTTGTAGTTCTCTTTTTTGATCGTTGTTTTCGTAGTCAGGTTTTTGTGCTACATAGGTTGAGCAACGGGGCTGTTTCTACCGCATTCTTCTCAAAAAGGTATGTTGATTTGCATAGTAATATGATGCTATCTGCAAGTGACTCGCAGAAAGCTCCTCTGTCTAGCTGGGCTTCCAGACTGCATGAAGTGAGGTTGGCACTGTTCTTGGTCTTTGAGCACGTTGTCTGCTCAAAGCAAGAATCAGTTATGCCTATCTCAACACTTAGAGGACCTTTGTTAGTGTTCATGACATCTGCTATGCCTGTGGCAGCCTGCAATTTACTCATCTTGCTTTAGTTACCCCAGTCATCAGGAAGAAAACTTTGAGAAGCTTTTGTCTTAGGAAAAGATATAAAAAAATTGGCCCCGTATTTGCATGTTACACTGCAAATGTCATCCGAAGATGATAGTCTTGCATCTGGAGAGATTGAACAAAACATTTATTTGATGTTCTGCGCAAGCAAATCGGTGAATGGTATTCTGGAGGCGCTGCATTAGAGTGCCTCGAGTGTGTAGCAGAGGTGAACGAGCACATCAAGTCACGTCACACGCGAGGCATAAGCGTTATCTGACAGTTATCTTGAAAAACGACGCGTGCGGCGTACGCGCCCGTCTCGGAGGTGAAAAGGCGTAGAACACAAGGCGACGAGTATGTGCCACCACCGTGTCGACTTGGTAAAGCGTTAGAAACACATGCCTTTCCGTGCAAGCGTTGCATAGTTAGCACAGCGTGATAAACGCTACTGTCTTCAGAATTACTTACGTATGACTTTTCTAGTGAAAAAACACACAGAATATTGATGTGTTGTTCCCAAAAAAAGAGTATCGGTCCCCAAAAAAGAATATCGTCTTTAAAGTATGCTGCGCTCATTGAATAGCATCGCCGGGCACATAACATCCTTGCTATTTCTCATACGCTGTGCACCATTGGTTGGGATTGGTGGAGGGAGTTCACAGTGCTCCATAGCCCTACATATCAGTTTACAGGTGTGGAGCTACTGTCGAGCATCAAGCTGCTTGCATATATGCCGTCTGCACGTAATTGTGTTTTGAGCGTGTGCAGTTATACCTTACTCTACACATATTTAGTATAACAAGCCTCGCACTCTAGCTCAAGAGTCTGTAGATCAGCTTCCACCTCTTCGCATTATGCTATGAGCACCTTGCATGTGAACTTGTGGGCTTGTGCTCTGTCATCCTTCTTTGCTTGCGTTTTCTGCCCATTCTTTAAGATGCATACCTTGCATACCAAGCATTTTGCGATTGACACAGCACACAAACATATACAGTCGAGCCCGCTTATAATGAACCTGAGTGAGACGCGTCATCCATTCGCTGTATCTCAAAGTTTGTAGAAAATGAGACACAGCTTTAAAGAAAGTTATGAGTGAAAAGTCAAATATTTTTCCACATAAAAAAAGTCTGTGATGCATGTGTTTCGAATAGCAGAAGCAATAAGACAGCGTGCTCTTCGGAGGTCTGTGGCATATACAAGCTGCCTGAGCCAAGGGCTATAAGCACGCTTGTGGGCACTGGCTCCAAAGTTTCGTTGTCTTCACCATCCAATTACTCCAAATCGCTCTTGCCGTGTGCTTCATTCACAATTCCCTCATTTTTGCACGGTTGCG